ATGTAGGCTGATAACTTTGCTTAGGTTTGAGACTAGTTGTGTGATCGACTTTGGTCTCCTTTTGTTGGAGTTCCCAAATTGAAGTCATTGAGTTCATGCGTCACACTGGTCGGTAAAGGTTGGGTTCGCTTAGATGCAAAATAGGTTGCGTCATCTCTTTCGGACTGCTGCGATTGGATTTCTGAAATTGAAGGCACAGTTTTTGCGCTGGAAGAGAGGCGCTGTTTGCTGATGAGTTTGAATATGTGCAGGCTAGTTGTGTTTTCGAGTTTGGATTGCTGTTGTTGGATTTCACAAGTTCATTTCATTGATTTTGTGCCATCTCAGTGGCCTTTTGGACTGGTGAGTTTGCTCAAGAGTAGGACTAGTTGAGCGATTGACTATCGACTCTTTCACAGATTTACAAGTTAAAGTCTCTAATTTGCGCTACTACGTCTGCTCTCTAGGCTCATGGTTTTGCTTAGGCTCAAGACGTGTTGTGTGCTCGACTTTCAGCTGCTATATTTGGAGTTCTGTAATCGAAGGTGCAGGATTTATGCCCGTGTTGCCGCTCTGTTGGTTGATAACTTTGCTCAAGCTTAAGACTAGTTGTGTGGTCGGCTTCCGACGGGAGTTTCCAAAATGAAGGCATTGGATTCATGCTGAATATACTTCCTGTGCACTAAAGAATTTCCTGAAGTTTAAGACTATTTGTGTGATTGATTTTGGAATGCTGTGGTTGGAGTTTCCAAATTGAATCCATAGGATTAATTTATGCTACTTTGGCGACCCTGTAGTTCGATAGCTTTGCTTTGGCTTATGACTGGGTTGTGTGATCGACTTTGCACACTTGTGATGTGGTTTTCAAATTGAGGGCTATCAATATATGCTATTGCGGCGCCCCGTAAGCTGACAACTTTGCGGAAGTTTGAAGCTAGTTTCGTGACTGCATTTGGCGTGCTGTTGTTAGAGTTCCTATGTCCAAATCATAGAATTCACGCTGGCATACCCATCTTGTAGGCTAATGACTGTGCTGATATTTACGACTAGCTCTGTGATCGATCTTTGGTTGTTGTTGTTGCAACTCTCAGATTTAAGACACTGTATTTATGCCAGTACAGCGACCCATGGGCCTTCGGCTCTGTTTAAGCTGATGACTAGTTGTCTATTCCCTGTCCACACTTTTGGTGGACGTTTTCATAATGAGAGATTTGAGCTTATGCTATCACAGCGGCCCTAAAGGCTGATGAGTTTGCTTTGGTTTAAGACTTCTGCGATTGACTATCGTCATTTGTGCTGGAGGTTTACAAATTGAAGGCTTCCAAATTATCCAACTACCTCTGCTCTGCAGGCTCACGACCGACTTTCGTGAAGTCTAGGACTAGTTGTGTGAACGAGTATGGACTTGTGTGATTGGAGTTCCCATGTTGAAGGCATTGGATTTCTCTTGCTGCAGCTTTTTCATAATCTGATCGCTTTGTTTTCGTATAAGACTAGTTGCGTAACTGGCTTTGGACCGCTGTGATTGGAGTTTCCCAATTTAAGACATTGAGCACTTGTGGTTGAACATTTTGAATTGAGTGCTTTTGATTTATGCTATTGAGGCGGTCATGTAGGCTAATGACTTCATGTGGTTTAAGAATAGTTGCGTGATCGAGTTTGGAATACTGTTCTTGGATTTACCAAGTTGAATGTATTGAATTTTCCCATAACAGCAGCCCTGTGGGCTGACATGTTTGCTTAGGAGTAATTTTGGTTGTGCTACTGGCCATCGGCACTTGTACTGAAGGTTACAAAGTGAAGGCTTTCAATTCATGCTAATACGACGGCTTTGTAGGCTGATGGCTTTCCTTAGATTTTGGGCAAGTTGAGTGATCGTCTCCGGACTATCGTTCTTGGATTTTCGAAATTGAAGGATTTCTTCTATTGAAGACTTGGTGTGTGGGCGAATGTGGGCTGCTGTGGTTGGATTCCCAAATAGAAGGTATTGGATTTTTGCTATCAGAGCGTCCAATAGGCTTTCGCGTTTGTTTAAGTTGAAGACTAGTGCTATTGACTTTCGACACCTGTAGTGGAGCTTTTGATATTGAACACATTCAGTTTATGTTATGGCGGAGGCTCTGTAGGCTGATAGCATTGTTTAGGTTCAAGACTAGTTGTGTGATCGGCTCTAAAATGCTATGATTGGAGTTACAAATTGAGTTTGATGCCTTGACAGCGCCCCTTCAAATCTGATAAGTTTGCTCAGGTATAGGGGTTAAGTGTGAGGTTGGCTTTCTACACTTTTGGTGAGAGTTTTGAAATCATGGACTTTCACCTATCCTATAGTGGTGGTCTTGTATTCTGATGACTCTGCTCAGTTTGAGTACTAGTTGTGTTATCACTTGGGACTGCTGCGGTTGCTGTTCTCAGATCGAAGGCATAGGATTGATTTATACTAATTTGGCGGCCATGTGTTCTGATAAGTTTGCTTTGGTTTCAAACTCCTTGTGTAATTGACTTACGACACTTGTGGTGGAGGTTTACAAATTGAAATGTTCCAATTCATGCTCTTAGTGCGGCCCTGTAGGCTGGTAACTTTGCTTAGGTTCAAGACTAGTTGCGTGATCTGTTTCGGTCTGCTACGGTTTGAATCTCAAGTTGAAGACATTGGAGTTATGCTGCTATAGCGACCTTGTAGGCTGATCACTTTCCTGATTCTAAAAAGTAATTGTGTATTGACTTTGGACTGCTCTGGTTGGTGTTCCCGAATTGAAGACACTGGATTGATGCCATCACAGCAGCTGTACAGGCTAATGACTTTGCTTAGGTTTTGAGCCTAGTTGTGCGGTTGACTTTTGACACTATTGTGGTGAAGGTTTTCAAGTTGACGACTTTGGATTTATGCTATTATAGCGGCGCTATGAGGCGACGAGTTTTGTTTAGGCTTTCGACTAGATGTGCAATTGGCTGTGAAGTGTTGTCTTTGTTGTTCTCAAAAAGGCGTTGGATTTATGCTAGTACAACACCCTATAGGCTTACTGCCTATCTCAAGTTTAAGACTAGTTGTGAGATTGTCAGTGGACACTGGTGAAGGTTTTCATATTTACTGTGGCGAAGGTTTTCATATTCATTGCTTTGCGTTTATGCTATGTGTGATGAAGGTGTGATTTACTGTGTGGTGAAGATTTTCGTATTTTCTGCTTTGCGTTTATGCTATGATAGCAGCACTGTAAGCTGAGTTCTTTGTCTAAGTCCAAGACTAGTTCTGTAATCGAAATTGGACTGCTAGGTTGGATTTGCAATTTGTATTCACTGGATTTTTGCTTTCGTAGCGGCCTGTAGGCTTACGGCTTGGTTTACGTTCAAGACAGATGTCATTGACTGACGGTGCTTGTCGTGGAGGTTTTCAAATTGAGGGCATTGCGTTATTGCAATTTCAGCTGCTCTCTGAGGTGTTGGATTTGCTTGTATTCACTTGTTCTGTTATCGATTCGAACTGTCGTGGTTGGATCTCACATGTTGTATTCATCGTTTTTGTGCTATCACAGCGGCCTATAGGCTTGCTGCTTTTCTTCTGTTTTAAGGCTAGCAGTGCGATTCACTCTCTATAGATGTTGTGGAGATTTTGAAGTAGAGGGCTTTGCATCTGTGCTGTTACAACGGCTCCATCAGGTGGTGGTTGATTCGCTCAGGTTGAGGACTAATTGTGTTATCGACTTTGGTGTATTGTGGTTGAATTTCGCAGATTGTAGGCATTGGGCTTGTACTATCACAGCAACCTATAGGCTTACGGCATTCTTTATGTTTCAGTCTAGGTGCGCGATCGGCTTTCGACACTGTTGTGGTGGTTTTCGTATAGAGAGCTTTGAATCTATGCTACTGCACCGACCCTGTAAGGTGGTGGATTTCTTCAGGGTTGAAGACTAGTTCTGTTATTGACTTTGGACTGCTGTTGTTGGTGTTTCGAAAGTGAAGGCACAGGATACTATTCTGGCACGGCGGCCTCGTGGGCTGATGAACTTGACTAGGTTTAAGATTAGTTGTGTGATCGACTTTAGACTAGTGTGGTTGATGTTCCTGAGAACTGAAGATGAAGTTTTCGGATTAATGCTATTACAGCGGTCCTGTTGGCTGATGAATAAAGACTCGCATATCAATCAACGTTCTGGATGTATAGGTATAACATCATACCATCGCTAAAAGAGCGGTCAAATGAATTCTTGTCCATTCTCAGGTCATCTTGTTGAAAGCTCGTCGTAGCATGATACAATTTCTATTAAGCAGTTTCTTGGTTTAAGTGGAAAAACGCGACGGAAAGGTTTTTTCTGCGTGAAAAAAGTGGGTGTGCCGTGGCTGAGCGGTTGTAATGCTCGTCGCTGTGCGCATGGAGCCGATCTCCGCTCCCCAATTCTCTCCGGCAATCAACAACAGCGCCCTATGGAAAGCCACATGTAGGCTATCTTTGAGATTGCCGGGAGACTCGCTCAACCAATGTTCTACGACGTTCAGGAAGAAGACGAATAAACGAATTGAGTGCCAGAAACACTGTGATCCGCACAGTGGAAAAAAAAGTGAAGACGGATCAATAATGTGTAAAGTAAAATAACATTCGATTCAAGAGATAGAATATTGTTCCAACATAACTAACGTGACCATTATATCAGTATTTTTGGCAGTGATGTCCTAATTTTTCCTTCTTGTTTCTTTGGCTACATATTATAATCGCTTGTTTCCATATACCCAATGACGATGTAGAGTGATGTGCAAAACGCTTGCGTCAGCCGGGATTTGAACCCAGATCCTACTCTTTCCGAGAGTATATGCTAAATCGTTGAACCACCGACGCTCGTTTCGCACTGCACTCTTTCTACGCTTTCACCGCAAGGCGGTCAAATGAAATGATTTCGGATTGATTATTGGGACTTAATATCTGTCAACATAAGGGTTCAATGTCGATAATGACCCCCCCGCCACACCGTAGACGGTTGGCGTTTGACAGATAACGCGTTGTAGCGTAGAAAGAGTGGAGTGCAAAACGAGCGTCGGTGGTGTAACAGTTTAGCACATACTCCCGGAAGGAGTAGGATCTGGGTTCAAATCCCAGCTGACACAAGCGTTTTGCACACCACTCTACATCATCATTGGGTCTATAGTAAGATCATAACAAGGCAAGGCGGTCAAATAAAATGATTTCGGATTGATTACTTGTTTCCTTATTCCTTTAAGTAAATTAATATCAGGCCTTTCACAGATTTTGATCCTTGCAAACCGTCGCGATATGGGTCATCATCGGGAGATCACCGACGATCAAATATCTGGTTTTGTCGATGACTTCAATATGTAGGTGATTTTCAACTTTTACGATATATAATCGAATAATTAGTCAGAATTATAATTTTCAAATGAAGCACAGGCGCCGTTTTCGGGCGTGCTATTGAACTATTGCTCGATACTTTACCTTCTAGCTGTTTTCCTCCCCTTTTTTAAATAATAATTTATCTTCCTTGTTTGTTTCCCACTTTTCATTGTTTCTCCTATCGTTTGTCTTATCTTTATTCTTATCTGACAGCAGGTCATGGCCATTCACATAGTCGTCCTGCTGTCCGACAACGTTACACTTTTGTTCTTTATATGAAGTTGATTGATTCATTTCGTGAATGATTCGTGACTTTCTTGATTTTTCTTATCGTTGTTGATCACATTTGTTCACTGCTCTTCAGTCGTGTTATTGTTTTTTGCTATTTCCTAGTTAGTCGCCTTTGGATGAGTGTACCGCTCAGCTATTGGGTTTTCAATGAAAACAATATGAATGCTCCTTATTTTTGTATCGCGCGGCATATGTCTGCTGTGGTTCTGTATGTCTTCGCTATTGTTCAATGGCCAGGTTGGTCCTTCCATTTTGTAATATTATTTTTTCTTTATTTGCTCTACTTATGGTTTAATTATTCTACTTGTCTCTACGTGTATGCATACATATATACCTGTACATATGTATATGTATGTATATGTGCATATACATACATTATACATATAGGTATATGTGCGCGTATATATATACATATATATATATATATATATATATATATTATTGATTCGTCCCATGCAATACACCAGTGTTCGCTTGACGTCCCATGTAATCCAGCTAGTTCTAGTTTTGTTCAGAGATGCTGCCATTATTTTGAGGTGTCCCATTGGATGGACTTAAGGCATGTTAGCTTGCTACCTGGTCATCGTGCCCAGAAATTCCAGGTTTTTCGCTGCCTTTTCTTTCCAGAAGAGTGCAGATGGTACTAACGTATTTTTCTAGCAGTCTTAGAAGGCGTTGGTTGTGCCTTCATCATACTTGCTCATAATTCAAATTTCTGAAAGTTATACTGAAGCAAAAAAGAATTCAATTTGTAATAGATGGGCAATATTTTTGGTACTTACGCTCTTGGTTCCTAACTACTTTTCTGTGAAAACATGGCCTTATCATTGGCTTCTGCCTCATATGCACAGCGAAGGATTTGCCGGTTAATGCGCTCACTACGTTAAATGTGAAGTGACGTCAAGAGTCGATATGTTTTGGAATAACTCCATAAAGAGTTAGTTAAAGGTCCATTTTCCCTCAACCTCCAATTAGTAAACGAGTTGGTTTGTCCTTACGAACTTTCCTCTGTGAAGTGACTCGGGGTTGTGTTGTTGTATAGCCTTATTGGTTAGACTCTGTTATTCTAATGGGATTTCAATGCACGAACTTGTAGTTTCAAAAGTACTTATCAATTTTACATTATTCACGTTTTTTAACGAGCAAATCCATCAGTATAGTATGGTTTCCACATGTTACCTCTCAATTTTGGATATTTGCAGTTTATCTGAAATACCTCAAGAATTTACGCGTTGATGTTTCTAGCTCTTGGTCTAGGAGCGTGACTTCAAATTTGTATTCGTCAGCAATGTGCTTTCGTATTCTGCGTGTAGTAATCAGTTGCGATACTTTGTGAAGTTCTGTGTTTTCCATCCGAGAACTCTTTTTTCACAGGCATGTGTGGCGCAGTGGTTAGAGGTGCTCTGTGACACACACACTTAGTCGGTAAGTCGGTAATCGAAGACAGGCTCTCGCGCTCGATGTTCACTGAGCATTTCATGCCTCCGGTGTCGGTGAATTGGAACCAGACTTGTCTGGAAAAATAGCAACACTGATCTGATATATCGGTAGGCCACCGCGATTATTCTGAAGATTGGATATGTATTCAATTACCTTTAGCGATGCTCGAGACGAATGCATAGCCCATTCTTGAGGGATTGATCAACGCCGAGAGCTTTATTTTTTTTAATAGAGCTTTTACGGAAGCACAAAGTGGCCTTTCAGTATGCTAGTTCTTTTTCATCATCCCATATTTTACATATGATTAGATGTACTATAACCTGAGCTCGCACAGTGTTAAGCTCTACAACAAGGTACTTATCAAAAAACCTGTCATACAATACTGTCTGTTCCTCTTACTTCTATAGTACTTCTCTGGTCTGTTAGGTACTTTTTCTTGCGAATGAGTTATGCATCACTAGTAATATATGGTTGAAATTCACCCATACAGACGGTTCTTGTCAGTCGATTGTCTGCTGTAAAACACCCTAAGTTGTCAGTGGCTTTGGATTTTCTAAGAAGGCCGGTCATGTTCGGATTATGAGTCCAAGAGTTCAGATAATACATAGCTGATGATTTGTAAAGTGGGTTATGAATACATCAGCTAAACGAATAGAGTTCGTCGTAAAAGTTCCCTTAGACAGAAGATTTGGAGCACAACAGAATGTTTCACTTATTTGCACTGGATAAAGAACTATCAAGTCGTTCCATAAATCTTGGCACTAGAGCAACAGACACTAAATTTATGGAGCAGAAATATTTGATATTGCATGATTTCGATATCGTTCAATTACGCATTTTCTTGTGAATATTTTGGTATACAATCTGCCTATACTTACTTTGAGACGAAGCTGTTTTGGGAATAAATTCTCTTGCTATATGTGCAGAAATGGCCCGCTGGGAAAAATGCTAGTGAGGCAACGCTCAGGATTAATGGAGGTTTCTGTGGGATGGTCCCAGCGCGACTGATCTTCCATACTGTTCTCTTCAGCTTTGAACTTCGCGAACCACTTCCGAGCCGCCCTTTCTGCAATTGTATCGTTGCCTTTCACAGAAGGCTCCATTAATCTTGCGCGCGGCTTCACTAGCATTTTCTCTTACGCGCCATTCGTGTGTGAATATCAAGCGAATTTGTCCTGAAGACAGCTCCATCTGTAGGCAAGTTGTATACTAAAATGTTGGCAAAAAAGTGCGCAATTAGGGGATATTACATCACACCCTACTTCATATATTAAAAAGATGAAGTTACCGAAACTAGAACCATTGAGAAGGGAATACTATTAACAATCTTCTTACACTCAACGACAGTCCGCAAGGACGAAAAATGTTTAGATACCAATTTCGGTGCAATGATTGGAATAGTACCAATTTTAGTGTAATTAAACGGTCTTTAATAGTTAATTGTTGGTGCTTCACATCCTTGTTATGGAAGCGATGGCGCTTATCGGGATATTCCACGTGGTATATAAAAAGCTTGTTTCGCAATTTTCATTTTCCACCTCGAATTTTATACTTTGTTTTTATATGTTGTGAGGTTAGATTTGCTTTGCGACAACATCCTCGAGCGGCCGGTCGGTTACGGGATTAGTTCTCGTCAAATCACCGTCCTCTGAGAAAAGTTGAAGTAGACTAGCCGAGAATCCCGTCTTTTCTTAATGGCCAGTAATTGCTTTAGGTGGAGGTCTCATATTTCTGAAGCACGTCTACTTCGGTATCGCAAGAGAAATGACGCTTGACCAAACTTGCTGAATGGGATAAAGAATTTTTGAGCAGTAGTCGAATCAACTCTAGAAGGTGATTAACTCCGTTGATGTTGGTTGAATGACAATGAGTCCTAGGGAAGATGTGCCGAGACACTTAAATGGTTCATGTAGGTGTCTCTGTAGACGCAGTGGAATTGCGTTGTTGAGTCTGTCACTCGTACGAAGTTGACATTGTTATGCTTTAGCATTCCTATCTCTTCTTGTTAGCTTCACTTCAAATGTTTTTCTTTATCAATTTATTAAAAAGTCGTTTTCCATCCGTAGTATTCTATTTGGCTTGTGATTGATGTTGTGAGATCAGTATCATTATCAAGACAAAAGTGACTCCCCACTTCAATCATGATATTGTTCTAAGATGCTGAAGGTCAGATTGTGAATCTGTTGTGCAGCTCGATGGATATATGTTGGGTTGTCCCTCCGTTTCTTTTGCGAAGTTAGGTTATTCCGAAAAGGTTGTATTATGTTGGAGAATGTACTAGTAACTCTAGTCATGCGATCGTAGCGCCATCGCTCTCATGTGAATGGAATGTGCTACCGCAAAGTGACGTAGGAATGGAAACCTCATGCATTGACCGGCCACATAAAATTGTAAAGCCGATTCGCTGCATTTTGGAGAAGTTGGGCTCGACCACGGTTCCACATCTGTCGTATAGCTCAGATATCGCTTCATCGGATTATCATTTCTTCTGCGTCAGCAACATCTGCTGGAGAACAAATTCAATGAGTATAACCAACTTGAAATTAACCTTACCGACTTCTTTGATCGCCAGTCTCATTCTTTATAGGAAGAAGGCATGCAATCCTTGCAACAAATGGTCATGTATCATGATCATGATGGTGATCATATTGTTGATTCATTGATTTTTTCAAATGAAAAGAAACTGAAACAACAAAAGTGTCGAAACATGAAGGAAATCATGGGACTTTCCGATTACCGATATATTGGATATGGGCATACTCATTATGAGACTATCCTGTATATTGGGTAGGAATATACTCAATGTACCCATTATTCCTTATCGTAGTCAAAGACCTTAGGTGCTAGTAATGTGGCAAACAGCGGTATTTTACAGATTTCTGACTAACGGATGAATTTCTTGTAAGTGTTATCGGCCGTTATTAACCTCTTGAGAAATGTTGCTAGCTCTCGTGGTTCTCAGTCTCCAATCTCTGCAGTTCCGTAGTAAATGCTGTTTTTGTCTCTCCTTATACCCCACTACCGT